TTCTGGCTTCTAACTACCATCACCCCACTGTATGTCATATTCGACTACTTCCACAGTACTCTTCCTACCTTTTTCTACCTTTGTGTCTCTCTTTTACATCTTTAAAACACTCTTCTGTCCCCCCCCCCTCTCGAAATTTGATATTTCTTCTTTTCTGTGAGGCCTGAAGTCGCCTAAAGGGCTAAGGAAACTATCAAAATGCCTGCCATTTGTTATAAATAAATAAATAAATCAAAATTGAGCTCTCAGGCAACACAGCCTGAGAACCAAATAATTGAAAATCCAGTGTACAATGGTACCAATTAAATAGTAAGTTCTGCATCTTCCATATTAAAAAAATGCCAAACTTTGTAAATTTGCTCTGATTAATAACCATAGCAACTGTTACGGCTACTACCATTGAACACAGCACCTGCATTCCTTTAATGTTTACAAGGCGGAAGAGAGTGGCGCAAATCTGAAGTCTCCTCTCCCCCTCTCTCTCTCTCCCCAACACAATTTCCACCATGAGGTCTATTATCCAATCACGTGACTACGCTTGACCATCATCTCTTGATAATAAAACTTGCAAGACCCCCCTAACTATGGCTCTGGTGTGAGTTCGGGCGTAAATTTCTTTTATCGTTTTCCCAATCGTTTAAACATCAACCGCCATTTTAATTAACTAACCAAGCGAAAAAAAATTAAGCTTTCAGTCTATAAATATGAGCATGTGGGAAGGAATAACCGACCTTATATTGATAACGTCGGGCAGATAAGGAGGGGTGGGGAGCTCTTCACCAGGACGATTCTGCATTCTACACCCACATTCAAATATCTACTTTCTTATGTGTGTGTGTGTGGGTTAGAAGACAATTGCGTAGTGGTTCAAGTCCAAATCAGACAAGTTAGACATTGAGAGCAATGCTCATTGGTGAGGCCTAAGTGAGGTGGTGACAAAGCATATGTCCTAAGTCTGAGCAACAAGAAAGTGAGTTCCTCGTTTGGTATTCTGACTTTAGAATTTACCCTAGGATCACATGATCACATTTTTGCCACAATGGCATTAACAAGACTTGAACAAATGAGATTATGTTAAAAGCTGTAAAAGGCCCTCCGAATCCACCGAACCTTAAGCCCGTAAGCTCTTACATCTACGTTGCCCACTACGTCACCAGTAGATATAATCTACCTCTCAAAAATGTTCCTGCATAATTTCAATTGTCAAGAATAGATTCCACTATATAAATAGGTCGATTTCTAGTAGATACTGGATTTTAAAACTATATATAAGGTAGTTTGAGTAATATTAGTGCCATTGTAAATAAAAGGCCTTAGATATTTTACTAAACAGAGCTCCTTTTGACCCAAGTTTTGCATTAGACGGTTGGAGTCTCCTTTAAGTGGCTCATATCAACATACCCCAGAGAGAAATCTTGTAGTGTATAACCATACCCCACCACGTCATATCTTCTCCCTAACTTGACGTTTGTTTGAATTGGCTCCACTGACCACTTTAGTTTAACAAATCTCGAATGTGTAAAGACTTACCTCAGGATGGAATTGCTGTTCAGTGCGAGTGTGGCAGAAGGCACAAGCATCGCCAGCATCGCAGAGGGAGCTATCAAGCCACTCATCTGCAAGTCTAACCGCCGGACACGGAGTGCTTCGATAGAAACATCGCTCAGGCATTCTTCGTTTATCTTTGCCATTGTGATAGTATGGACAGGAGTAGCCTTGTCGACACATTCGAGGTGGTTTACGACAGGATTCCGTCTTGTAACGTGCCATTACATGCATCATATCTAAGAAGAACATTATTGAATTATCCATAATTAGTTTCTTGAAACTGATAAGAGAATAGTATTCTCATCCGTCTATTTGTCAACTTACCCTTCTCCTCGTCTCTTAATTACCGCATGCCAAAATTCTTTAAGACCCCGAACACATTACAGGTGAAACTACTAACGTCACTAGCCCAAAAGGAATGCCTGTGTAACCACGTGGTCAAAGTAGGCGCATAGTGGACCGATGCGAAACTCTGACAACGAGATTAACTTCATTACAATCTCATGAGGCTTTATATGGAAGTAGTCATTACGCCAATATCGTTGTGTCCCTAC